AGTGAAAGGCTCCTTTAAAACTGCTGTGTGAAGAGGTTTTTCAAAATAAAAGCACGGCAGATTACGAGTGAAAGGCTCCTTTAAAGCTGCAGTGTGAAGATGTTTTTCAAAATAAAAGCACGGCAGATTACGAGTGAAAGGCTCCTTAAAGCTGCAGTGTGAAGATGTTTTTCAAAATAAAAGCACGGCAGATTACGAGTGAAAGGCTCCTTAAAGCTGCAGTGTGAAGATGTTTTTCAAAATAAAAGCACGGCAGATTACGAGTGAAAGGCTCCTTTAAAGCTGCAGTGTGAAGATGTTTTTCAAAATAAAAGCACGGCAGATTACGAGTGAAAGGCTCCTTAAAGCTGCAGTGTGAAGATGTTTTTCAAAATAAAAGGATTTGTCAACTTTTATGTAGTTAATCTATCTATATACGTAGATGTGGTCATTTTGTTATACTTGATGAATATTTTCTTAAAATGCAAAAAAATAAATAAGAAATGCTCCTTTAAAGCTTGATGGGTCAGTGATGATGAGGATGATGATGGTGAGTGATGAAGGCAGGCTGCTCTACCTGCTGCTGGGCGGGGGGGAGCAGCTTCTGCAGACGCGAGGCAGGAAGTGACATCGTCTTCAGCTTCTTGGGGTCAGATTTGAGCGGCACTTCCTCCTCTTCGTCAGAGTCCTGCAGGCCGTACTTTGAGAAGTGGGCGACCTGAGGGAGATTTAAGGATTTAAATTAGTAATGATAAACACAAGGCTTTAAAAAGGTCTGTAGCTCTGTACGTATGGCAATGAAAGCCTTCTCTCTCTGGTATGACTGAGGGTCTCTGACCTCGAACACCCAGGAGCCGGTCTCCGTCCTGTACTCCAGGAAGCGGGCCCCCTGCCTGCGCGAGGCCTTCTCCAGCCGGCCCTCGTAGTTCATCTCCGCCAGACGCTCCGGGCTGCGGATCTGAGCGCACGACGTCTTATCGTTGGGCCAGACGCCGTCCAGAGTCACCTCCGCCTTCCTGAGGGGAAACAGAGAACACATACAGGGTCAGAGGGAGACAGGTGGTGACAAGAAGTGGATGAACAGTTCAGATAGATCCCGCCTCTCACCTGTTAAGCCCCTCCCCCTCCGCGGGCTTGTTCTTGTCGTCGGGGTAAACGATGACCTCTTTGCGTCTGAAGTGCACGATGTCGTCCAGGTTCAGCCCCGAAGCGTTCACCTCTCCGGGGAAGAAGATGGAGCCGTAGCCTGAGGGCGAGCAAGGAGTTTTTAATATCCTCTTTAAAATGATATTAAAGTTTGACATCAGGTCGGAGATGTGGTTGTTCTTGTCTGGTAATCAGGGTTCCTGCCGGTTTCACCAACTCAAATGTAAGACTTCTTAAGACCACTTTGAATAGAAATTAAGACCTTTTTCACAGCAAGAAAGTATGACGGAAAACTGCTTTGAAAGAAGAAATACGTCCCATAATTACTTTCAAAGTAAATGTGTTCATGCTCAACATAAGAACGATGACTGAACATAACAGCACAGAACTGTGTGTGTGTGTGTGTGTGTGTGTGTGTGTGTGTGTGTGTGTGTGTGTGTGTGTGTGTGTGTGTGTGTGTGTGTGTGTGTGTGTGTGACAAGAGCTATATGCAGAGCTCTGCTGCCTCGGCTACAATCTTTCACCGTTGCTGTTGTATGATTGGGTTTCTGACTGCCGCTAGTTGAAGCTTGGTTGCTAGGTTACTAACTGGGTGTTCTCCGATAAGGGGCCGGGGGAAACAAAGTTAGTGATTACTGGTTCCATGTTGATTTATTTCAATACAGATTGTTGGGGAGCTGAACGGCTCTCACCGTGCAGGTTACATTGCAGCCCGGACATTTCCCCCAAAACACATTCAGACGCCATCGCACAGAAGCGCCTTTCAAACCCCATCACTTTGAAGACCTTCTAAATCATATGTAAGACTTTTTAAGACCTTCAATTCTGATTATCATATGTAAGACTTTTTAAGACCCCGCAGGAACCCTGGGTAATGTTGTATTGTTTTGTAAACGTGCTCTTCAATGTATCATAGGTCCAATTTATAGTCACTTTGTATATTAAACGTTTTTAGCTTGCATTGTCAAAATGATCCTGTCTGTTAGGTTTGATAGCACCATCGGGAATGCTTGGAATTTTGCTGTGTCGTGACAATAAAGGAATCTCATCTAATAATGACAACAAGTACATTTTAAGGGCGGCAACCAAAACATCTATAACGAGGAAGTGGATGAGCCAAGAGCTTCCGACGGAGGGAGCGTGGATGGACGTGATTCATGAGATCTATGTAATGGAAAGTTGACGTATGCACCGAGACCACAGAGAGAAGAGGTGGAAGGGCTGGTGGGATTTAGTTGAACTTAAAATAGGAGGATTGCTGAATGACTGTTAAAGAGATAAAGATGATGTGATATCTTTTGTGTTTTCAATGCAGAGGTCTGTTTGTTTTTCTGCGAGTGTTGCTCCTATGTTTGTTAACCTGTGAAGAAATGAAAATGAAGAGATAATCACAGGTGGACGACGTTTACCTTTCCTTCCCACGGTGAAGTTCTCCACCAAGCAGTCTCTGTTTCCATCCACCATCTCAGCCAGGTCCTCCATGGAGGGGATGGTGTAGTAACCAACGCGGTTCAGAACGATGCCTGTTCAAGGATGCTTGATTTTAATACAGAGCTGGTTCTGCTCTCCATGTTGCTGTGAAAGACACCTCAGTGCCGTACAAGACACTGACCTGCAGGGTGAGGAGGCTGCTGCTCCAGCTGCTCTTCCTCTTGTTCCTCCTGCAGAGACTCCTCACACAGAGACGCTGAGATGTCATCGCTGCTCACCTGGAAACATGGAGAGAATCAGACGAGATGTGAGTAAAAAACAGACATTTAAGTTCAAAGAAAAGACAAAATGAGTAAAAGTGAGTAAAAACCAGAGTAAAATTCTGACAAAGTGTGAGTTCAAACCAGACGAAATGTAATTAAAAAAACCAGACGAAATGTAATTTAAAAAACCAGACGAAATGTAATTTAAAAAACCAGACGAAATGTAATTTAATAAACCAGACGAAATGTAATTTAATAAACCAGACGAAATGTAATTTAATAAACCAGACGAAATGTAATTTAAAAAACCAGACGAAATGTAATTTAAAAAACCAGACGAAATGTAATTTAAAAAACCAGACGAAATGCGAGTAAAAGTAAAAATCTGGCAAAAACAAGGAAAAAATTAACAAAATGTAAAAATAAAAAGAGAATACCAGGGTTCATACTTTTTCACCAATGACTTCTCAATGACTTTCAATGACTTCTCCATGACTTCTCAATGACTTTCAATGACTTCTCAATGACTTCTCCATGACTTTCAATGACTTCTCAATGACTTTCAATGACTTCTCAATGACTTCTCAATGACTTCTCAATGACTTCTCAATGACTTTCAATGACTTCTCAATGACTTCTCCATGACTTCTCCATGACTTTCAATGACTTTCAATGACTTTCAATGACTTTCAATGACTTCTCCATGACTTCTCCATGACTTCTCCATGACTTCTCCATGACTTCTCCATGACTTCTCAATGACTTCTCAATGACTTCTCCATGACTTCTCAATGACTTCTCAATGACTCTCAATGACTTCTCCATGACTTCTCCATGACTTCTCCATGACTTCTCAATGACTCAATGACTTCTCAATGACTTCTCCATGACTTCTCCATGACTTCTCAATGACTTCTCAATGACTTCTCAATGACTTCTCAATGACTCTCAATGACTTCTCCATGACTTCTCCAGGACCTTTACTTAATTTTCCATGACCAAAAAAATAACCACTGAAAATGGTTTATTTGAATAAGGTCTGAAACATGTTCGATCTGAAAGAAAGAAATAGGCTTACTCGCTTCTACGCGCTGAAGCAACTCAAATCTCTCACCAGCGAAACACCTCGTCAGTTAAAAGCCCCTTCACGTTTCATTACGATACAGTATTTATTATCATTATAGTATTACTATTTCGGGGATTAGCTAAAATATAAAATTATATTATTACATTTCCAAAACTTTGGGAAATATATTGTTTCCATGACTTTTCCAGGGCCTGGAATTAGCATTTTGAATTTCCATGAGTTTTCCAGGTTTTTAATGACCGTAAGAAAACCTGGAATACAGAAGACATATTTGGGACGAAATATAATAAAACATCTGAAAAAGACTCAATGACTCAATGACTTCTCAATGACTTCTCCATGACTTCTCCATGACTTCTCCATGACTTCTCCATGACTTCTCATGACTTCTCCATGACTTCTCCATGACTTCTCCATGACTTCTCCATGACTTCTCCATGACTTTCAATGACTTTCAATGACTTCTCAATGACTTCTCAATGACTTCTCAATGACTTCTCAATGACTTTCAATGACTTCTCAATGACTTCTCAATGACTTCTCAATGACTTCTCAATGACTTTCAATGACTTTCAATGACTTTCAATGACTTCTCAATGACTTCTCAATGACTTCTCAATGACTTTCAATGACTTCTCAATGACTTCTCAATGACTTCTCCATGACTTCTCAATGACTTCTCAATGACTTCTCCATGACTTCTCCATGACTTCTCAATGACTTCTCAATGACTTCTCAATGACCTTTCAATGACTTCTCCATGACTTCTCCATGACTTCTCCATGACTTCTCCATGACTTCTCCATGACTTCTCAATGACTTCTCCAGGACCTTTACTTAATTTTCCATGACCAAAAAAATAACCACTGAAAATGGTTTATTTGAATAAGGTCTGAAACATGTTCGATCTGAAAGAAAGAAATAGGCTTACTCGCTTCTACGCGCTGAAGCAACTCAAATCTCTCACCAGCGAAACACCTCGTCAGTTAAAAGCCCCTTCACGTTTCATTACGATACAGTATTTATTATCATTATAGTATTACTATTTCGGGGATTAGCTAAAATATAAAATTATATTATTACATTTCCAAAACTTTGGGAAATATATTGTTTCCATGACTTTTCCAGGGCCTGGAATTAGCATTTTGAATTTCCATGAGTTTTCCAGGTTTTTAATGACCGTAAGAAAACCTGGAATACAGAAGACATATTTGGGACGAAATATAATAAAACATCTGAAAAAGACTCAATGACTCAATGACTTCTCAATGACTTCTCAATGACTTCTCAATGACTTTCAATGACTTCTCAATGACTTCTCAATGACTTCTCAATGACTTCTCAATGACTTTCAATGACTTTTCAATGACTTTCAATGACTTTTCAATGACTTTCAATGACTTTCAATGACTTTCAATGACTTTCAATGACTTCTCAATGACTTTCAATGACTTCTCAATGACTTCTCAATGACTTCTCAATGACTTTTCAATGACTTTCAATGACTTTTCAATGACTTTCAATGACTTTTCAATGACTTTCAATGACTTTTCAATGACTTTTCAATGACTTCTCCATGACTTCTCCATGACTTCTCCATGACTTCTCAATGACTTCTCAATGACTTCTCCATGACTTCTCCATGACTTCTCCATGACTTCTCCATGACTTCTCCATGACTTCTCCATGACTTCTCCATGACTTCTCCATGACTTTCAATGACTTTCAATGACTTCTCAATGACTTCTCAATGACTTCTCCATGACTTCTCCATGACTTCTCCATGACTTCTCCATGACTTCTCCATGACTTCTCAATGACTTCTCAATGACTTCTCCATGACTTCTCCATGACTTCTCCATGACTTCTCCATGACTTCTCCATGACTTCTCCATGACTTCTCCCATGACTTCTCCATGACTTTCTCCATGACTTCTCCATGACTTCTCCATGACTTTCAATGACTTCTCCAGACTTCTCAATGACTTCTCAATGACTTCTCCATGACTTCTCCATGACTTCATCCATGACTTCTCCATGACTTCTCCATGACCTTCGCATGGATTCTCCCCATAGACTTCTCCATGACTCTCCAGGACTTCTCCATGACTTCTCCATGACTTCTCCATGACTTCTCCATGACTTCTTCAATGACTTCTCCATGACTTCTCAATGACTTCTCCATGACTTCTCCATGACTTCTCCATGACTTCTCCAATGACTTCTCATGACTTTCTCCATGACTTCTCCAGACTCTCATGACTTCTCAATGACTTCTCAATGACTCTCCAGGACCTTTACTTAATTTTCCATGACCAAAAAAATAACCACTGAAAATGGTTTATTTGAATAAGGTCTGAAACATGTTCGATCTGAAAGAAAGAAATAGGCTTACTCGCTTCTACGCGCTGAAGCAACTCAAATCTCTCACCAGCGAAACACCTCGTCTGTTAAAAGCCCCTTTCACGTTTCATTACGATACAGTATTTATTATCATTATAGTATACTATTTCGGGGGATTAGCTAAAATATAAAATTATATTATTACATTTCCAAAACTTTGGGAAATATATTGTTTCCATGACTTTTCCAGGGCCTGGAATTAGCATTTTGAATTTCCATGAGTTTTCCAGGTTTTTAATGACCGTAAGAAAACCTGGAATACAGAAGACATATTTGGGACGAAATATAATAAAACATCTGAAAAAGTTTAAGTAAAAATCAGACAAAGTTTAAATTATGAATCCAACTAAATCTTAGTTTTCAAAATGATCAATAAATCAGACATAACGCGTCTCACCTCCAGGCCGTTGCGCGCGGCTTTGTGCATGTTGAGCTCGCTGATGGTGTCCTGCAGCACCGCGGGGGGGCTGAAAGCGACCGGCTTAGAGATCGGGTTCACGTAGAACTGAGACACTTCTGGATCCTCTTCTGTTCGACTGCTGAGACCCGCCATCTCCTCCTCGTCCTCCACATGACTGCTGACAGAACGAGAGTCAAAACCAGGTTAAAACAACACTTCTGAGCCCAAGTTAAACCCAGCTTTAAAGGGTGCTCCTGATGGATTGTGTGTGTACCTGTGCCCGTTGTGAGGGTACTCGGGGGGCGAGGCCAGGTCGTCGATCTCCTTGCTCAGAGGGCTGCTGTACTGACTGCTGTTCAGGTTCTTCAGGACCAGCTTCTTGATGCTCTTCCTGGGAACGAACGCCCCGTTTGTGAGCGACGGCTCGTCGTCGTCCAGCCCGTCGAACAGCTGAGACTTTGAAGCCCCCGAAGAACCCAAAGCTTTGGGCCGGACGCGTGTCGCCGGACGGGGGGTGAGCTTGTAGTGAGTGGGCGTGGTCAGAGCCTTCTGGGCCGTGGGATTGGTCGGTTTCAGACGCTGGAAAGACACACAGGAGGTGGAGTTAGATACACGAAGGGTTTGGGGATCAGGAAATCTGCTTTTTGTTTTAAAATAGTAAAGAAAAATAAGTTAAAGTTTGATATTAATCTGACTAAATGTGATGCAAATCAGATTTCTGTCCGTCTCTGTTTGTGGTTCATGTGAGTCTCACCTCCTCCTTCTTCTTGGGGTCCGACAGCGGGTTTCTGAACAGAGGAGAATCTCCGTACGGAGAATACGCCAGAACACTGAGCTGCTGCTGCAGCAATGCATGCTGGGCCGCCGCGCCGCTGGGGTCCGTCAGCGCTGAGGAGGAAACACAAAGAACAGTTTTATACCACAGAAAATAAGGCTGTTAAACCGGAACTCTGTGAAGTGCCTCGATAAGCATTCGTCTGTTCGTGTCTTAATGTACATTTAATTTCATATCATATTCCATTCACATGCATATAGACTTCTTGCACTATCCTTATGATACACGTCGCCTTGTTGGAGGAGCTCGGGTCAGAAGAATTTCATTGCCATTTCTACTCTGCAGCTCATGCACAATAAAACCTTTGAATCTTGAGAAGCAGAGTGAGATGTTCCTGTCGGCAGAGGTGGTAAAAGTACACACCCTTTACTCGAGTAGAAGTACACATACTCGTGTTTAAAAATACGTACCGACTAAACTTCTTTACTCAAGTCAAAGTAAAGAGGCTTTGAAATGTGTACGCCACCAAACACACATTCAAACTAAAGGAACCAGCCTGTTTGGAAAATGTGAGAAGTAGAAAGTACAAGTATTTGAGTTCAACATGTAAGAAGTAGAAAGTTCAGGTATTTGAGTTCAACATGTAAGAAGTAGAAAGTACAGGTATTTGAGTTCAAAGTGTAAGAAGTAGAAAGTACAGGTATTTGAGTTCAACGTGTAAGAAGTAGAAAGTACAGGTATTTGTGTTCAACATGTAAGAAGTAGAAAGTACAGGTATTTGAGTTCAACATGTAAGAAGTAGAAAGTACAGGTATTTGTGTTCAACATGTAAGAAGTAGAAAGTACAGGTATTTGAGTTCAAAGTGTAAGAAGTAGAAAGTACAGGTATTTGAGTTCAACATGTAAGAAGTAGAAAGTACAGGTATTTGAGTTCAACATGTAAGAAGTAGAAAGTACAGGTATTTGGGTTCAACATGGAAGAAGTAGAAAGTACAGGTATTTGAGTTCAACATGTGAGAAGTAGAAAGTACAGGTATTTGAGTTCAAAGTGTAAGAAGTAGAAAGTACAGGTATTTGAGTTCAACGTGTAAGAAGTAGAAAGTACAGGTATTTGAGTTCAACGTGTAAGAAGTAGAAAGTACAGGTATTTGAGTTCAACATGTAAGAAGTAGAAAGTACAGGTATTTGTGTTCAACATGTAAGAAGTAGAAAGTCCAGGTATTTGAGTTCAACATGTAAGAAGTAGAAAGTACAGTTATTTGTGTTCAACATGTAAGAAGTAGAAAGTACAGGTATTTGAGTTCAAAGTGTAAGAAGTAGAAAGTACAGGTATTTGAGTTCAACGTGTAAGAAGTAGAAAGTACAGGTATTTGAGTTCAAAATGTAAGAAGTAGAAAGTACAAGTATTTGAGTTCAAAATGTAAGAAGTAGAAAGTACAGGTATTTGAGTTCAAAATGTAAGAAGTAGAAAGTACAAGTATTTTAGTTCAAAATGTAAGAAGTAGAAAGTACAGGTATTTGAGTTCAAAGTGTAAGAAGTAGAAAGTACAGGTATTTGAGTTCAACGTGTAAGAAGTAGAAAGTACAAGTATTTGAGTTCAAAATGTAAGAAGTAGAAAGTACAGGTATTTGAGTTCAACATGTAAGAAGTAGAAAGTACAGGTATTTGAGTTCAAAATGTAAGAAGTAGAAAGTACAAGTATTTTAGTTCAAAATGTAAGAAGTAGAAAGTACAGGTATTTGAGTTCAAAGTGTAAGAAGTAGAAAGTACAGGTATTTGAGTTCAACGTGTAAGAAGTAGAAAGTACAAGTATTTGAGTTCAAAATGTAAGAAGTAGAAAGTACAGGTATTTGAGTTCAACATGTAAGAAGTAGAAAGTACAGGTATTTGAGTTCAAAATGTAAGAAGTAGAAAGTACAAGTATTTGAGTTCAAAATGTAAGAAGTAGAAAGTACAGGTATTTGAGTTCAACATGTAAGAAGTAGAAAGTACAGGTATTTGAGTTCAAAATGTAAGAAGTAGAAAGTACAGGTATTTGAGTTCAACATGTAAGAAGTAGAAAGTACAGGTATTTGTGTTCAACATGTAAGAAGTAGAAAGTACAGGTATTTGGGTTCAACATGTAAGAAGTAGAAAGTACAAGTATTTGGGTTTAAAATGTAAGAAGTAGAAAGTACAGGTATTTGGGTTTAAAATGTAAGAAGTAGAAAGTACAAGTATTTGGGTTTAAAATGTAAGAAGTAGAAAGTACAAGTATTTGGGTTTAAAATGTAAGAAGTAGAAAGTACAAGTATTTGGGTTTAAAATGTAAGAAGTAGAAAGTACAGGTATTTGGGTTCAACATGTAAGAAGTAGAAAGTACAGGTATTTGAGTTCAACATGTAAGAAGTAGAAAGTACAGGTATTTGAGTTCAACATGTAAGAAGTAGAAAGTACAGGTATTTGGGTTCAACATGTAAGAAGTAGAAAGTACAGGTATTTGGGTTCAACATGTAAGAAGTAGAAAGTACAGGTATTTGGGTTCAACATGTAAGAAGTAGAAAGTACAGGTATTTGGGTTCAACATGTAAGAAGTAGAAAGTACAGGTATTTGAGTTCAACATGTAAGAAGTAGAAAGTACAGGTATTTGAGTTCAACATGTAAGAAGTAGAAAGTACAGGTATTTGAGTTCAACATGTAAGAAGTAGAAAGTACAGGTATTTGAGTTCAACATGTTAGAAGTAGAAAGTACAGGTATTTGAGTTCAACATGTTAAGAAGTAGAAAGTACAGGTATTTGAGTTCAACATGTGAGAAGTAGAAAGTACAGGTATTTGAGTTCAACATGTAAGAAGTAGAAAGTACAGGTATTTGAGTTCAAAATGTAAGAAGTAGAAAGTACAGGTATTTGAGTTCAACATGTGAGAAGTAGAAAGTACAGGTATTTGAGTTCAACATGTAAGAAGTAGAAAGTACAGGTATTTGAGTTCAACATGTAAGAAGTAGAAAGTACAGGTATTTGAGTTCAACATGTAAGAAGTAGAAAGTACAGGTATTTGAGTTCAACATGTAAGAAGTAGAAAGTACAGGTATTTGAGTTCAACATGTAAGAAGTAGAAAGTACAGGTATTTGAGTTCAACATGTCAGAAGTAGAAAGTACAGGTATTTGTGTTCAACATGTAAGAAGTAGAAAGTACAGGTATTTGTGTTCAACATGTAAGAAGTAGAAAGTACAGGTATTTGAGTTCAACATGTAAGAAGTAGAAAGTACAGGTATTTGTGTTCAACATGTAAGAAGTAGAAAGTACAGGTATTTGTGTTCAACATGTGAGAAGTAGAAAGTACAGGTATTTGAGTTTCACATGTAAGAAGTAGAAAGTACAGGTATTTGTGTTCAACATGTAAGAAGTAGAAAGTACAGGTATTTGTGTTCAACATGTAAGAAGTAGAAAGTACAGGTATTTGTGTTCAACATGTAAGAAGTAGAAAGTACAGGTATTTGAGTTCAACATGTAAGAAGTAGAAAGTACAGGTATTTGAGTTCAACATGTAAGAAGTAGAAAGTACAGGTATTTGAGTTCAACGTGTAAGAAGTAGAAAGTACAGGTATTTGAGTTCAACATGTAAGAAGTAGAAAGTACAGGTATTTGTGTTCAACATGTAAGAAGTAGAAAGTACAGGTATTTGTGTTTCAACATGTAAGAAGTAGAAAGTACAGGTATTTGTGTTCAACATGTAAGAAGTAGAAAGTACAGGTATTTGTGTTCAACATGTAAGAAGTAGAAAGTACAGGTATTTGTGTTCAACATGTAAGAAGTAGAAAGTACAGGTATTTGTGTTCAACATGTAAGAAGTAGAAAGTACAGGTATTTGTGTTCAACATGAGAGAAGTAGAAAGTACAGGTATTTGGGTTCAACATGTAAGAAGTAGAAAGTACAGGTATTTGTGTTCAACATGGAAGAAGTAGAAAGTACAGGTATTTGAGTTCAACATGTAAGAAGTAGAAAGTACAGGTATTTGTGTTCAACATGTAAGAAGTAGAAAGTACAGGTATTTGTGTTCAACATGAGAGAAGTAGAAAGTACAGGTATTTGGGTTCAACATGTAAGAAGTAGAAAGTACAGGTATTTGTGTTCAACATGTAAGAAGTAGAAAGTACAGGTATTTGAGTTCAACATGTAAGAAGTAGAAAGTACAGGTATTTGAGTTCAACATGTGAGAAGTAGAAATTACAGGTATTTGGGTTCAACATGTAAGAAGTAGAAAGTACAGGTATTTGTGTTCAATATGTGAGAAGTAGAAAGTACAGGTATTTGTGTTCAACATGTAAGAAGTAGAAAGTACAGGTATTTGTGTTCAACATGTAAGAAGTAGAAAGTACAGGTATTTGGGTTCAACATGTAAGAAGTAGAAAGTACAGGTATTTGTGTTCAATATGTGAGAAGTAGAAAGTACAGGTATTTGAGTTCAACATGTAAGAAGTAGAAAGTACAGGTATTTGTGTTCAATATGTGAGAAGTAGAAAGTACAGGTATTTGGGTTCAACATGTAAGAAGTAGAAAGTACAGGTATTTGAGTTCAAAGTGTAAGAAGTCAAGTGGTCAGAAAAATAAGTATTGGAGTAAAGTACTGATACCAGAAACATGTACTTGAGTACAGTAACAAAGTATTTGTTCTCCACTTCTTCCCCCCTCTGCCTGTCGGGCTGAATTTCACTTTGATCTGAACCACTCACCGACGGCCTGCTGTGGCGCTCCGAAGCCCATCGAAGTCGCTCCGGTGTTGAACGCCGACGCTCCGAACGCTCCCATCGTTCCCAGAGTGGTGCCCAGTTTACCCTGAGTGTTCCCGAACAGAGAGGTCTGTCCTGGCACTGCTGCACACACACACACACACACACACACACACACACACACACACACACACACACTTTATTAGTATATGAGTGAGGAGCTTTATCTCAGTCCTAAAACCTGACAACATGTGAGTATGAATCTGCCTGGGCTCATGGCTGTGTATTATGGGATGTACCTGCTCCGAAGCTGGTTCCCAGAGCAGCTCCCAGTCCTCCGGTGGCCGGTTTGTTCCCAAACAGACCCCCAGCAGCCGGGTTGGCACCGAACCCTGCAGAAACACAAACATCAGAGATGAGTTAATAATGCCACTCTGATAATGGTATTCCCCCCGCTGCCCCCCCGTCTCCAGTAGACTGACCGAAGGTGGAGGTGTTGGTTCCCGCCCCCAGTGTGAGAGCTGGTTTGTTTCCGAACAGCCCGGTGCCAGTGCCGAAGGACGGAGCGCTGGTGGTGGTGGTCCCGAACCCTGCCGTCTTATTACCAAATAAACTCTGCTGTAACACACACACACACACACACACACACACACACACACACAGTGACGTTAACACACAGTGACGTTAACACAGTGACGTTAACGCACAGTGACGTTAACGCACAGTGACGTTAACGCACAGTGACGTTAACGCACAGTGACGTTAACGCACAGTGACGTTAACACAGTGACGTTAACACAGTGACGTTAACACACAGTGACGTTAACACAGTGACGTTAACGTTAACACAGTGACGTTAACACAGTGACGTTAACACAGTGACGTTAACACACAGTGACGTTAACACAGTGACGTTAACACAGTGACGTTAACACAGTGACGTTAACACAGTGACGTTAACACAGTGACGTTAACACACAGTGACGTTAACACACAGTGACGTTAACACAGTGACGTTAACACAGTGACGTTAACGCACAGTGACGTTAACGCACAGTGACGTTAACGCACAGTGACGTTAACACAGTGACGTTAACGCACAGTGACGTTAACGCACAGTGACGTTAACACAGTGACGTTAACGCACAGTGACGTTAACGCACAGTGACATTAACACAGTGACGTTAACGCACAGTGACGTTAACACAGTGACGTTAACGCACAGTGACGTTAACGCACAGTGACGTTAACGCACAGTGACGTTAACACACAGTGACGTTAACACACAGTGACGTTAACACACAGTGACGTTAACACAGTGACGTTAACACAGTGACGTTAACACAGTGACGTTAACACAGTGACGTTAACACAGTGACGTTAACACACAGTGACGTTAACACACAGTGACGTTAACACACAGTGACGTTAACACAGTGACGTTAACACAGTGACGTTAACACAGTGACGTTAACACACAGTGACGTTAACACACAGTGACGTTAACACACAGTGACGTTAACACACAGTGACGTTAACACAGTGACGTTAACACAGTGACGTTAACACAGTGACGTTAACACAGTGACGTTAACACAGTGACGTTAACACACAGTGACGTTAACACACAGTGACGTTAACACAGTGACGTTAACACACAGTGACGTTAACACAGTGACGTTAACACAGTGACGTTAACACAGTGACGTTAACACAGTGACGTTAACACAGTGACGTTAACACACAGTGACGTTAACACACAGTGACGTTAACACACAGTGACGTTAACACAGTGACGTTAACACACAGTGACGTTAACACAGTGACGTTAACACAGTGACGTTAACACAGTGACGTTAACACAGTGACGTTAACACAGTGACGTTAACACAGTGACGTTAACACAGTGACGTTAACACAGTGACGTTAACACAGTGACGTTAACACACAGTGACGTTAACACACAGTGACGTTAACACACAGTGACGTTAACACACAGTGACGTTAACACACAGTGACATTAACACACAGTGACGTTAACACACAGTGACGTTAAACACAGTGACGTTAACACACAGTGACGTTAACACAGTGACGTTAACACAGTGACGTTAACACAGTGACGTTAACACAGTGACGTTAACGCACAGTGACGTTAACACAGTGACGTTAACGCACAGTGACGTTAACACAGTGACGTTAACACACAGTGACGTTAACACACAGTGACGTTAACACAGTGACGTTAACACACAGTGACGTTAACACAGTGACGTTAACACACAGTGACGTTAACACAGTGACGTTAACACACAGTGACGTTAACACAGTGACGTTAACACAGTGACGTTAACACAGTGACGTTAACACAGTGACGTTAACACAGTGACGTTAACACAGTGACGTTAACGCACAGTGACGTTAACGCACAGTGACGTTAACGCACAGTGACGTTAACGCACAGTGACGTTAACGCACAGTGACGTTAACGCACAGTGACGTTAACGCACAGTGACGTTAACACAGTGACGTTAACACACAGTGACGTTAACACACAGTGACGTTAACACAGTGACGTTAACACACAGTGACGTTAACACACAGTGACGTTAACACACAGTGACGTTAACACACAGTGACGTTAACACACAGTGACGTTAACACACAGTGACGTTAACACACAGTGACGTTAACACACAGTGACGTTAACACACAGTGACGTTAACACACAGTGACGTTAACACAGTGACGTTAACACACAGTGACGTTAACACACAGTGACGTTAACACACAGTGACGTTAACACACAGTGACGTTAACACAGTGACGTTAACACACAGTGACGTTAACACACAGTGACGTTAACACACAGTGACGTTAACACACAGTGACGTTAACACAGTGACGTTAACACAGTGACGTTAACACAGTGACGTTAACGCACAGTGACGTTAACACACAGTGACGTTAACACAGTGACGTTAACACACAGTGACGTTAACACACAGTGACGTTAACACAGTGACGTTAACACACAGTGACGTTAACACACAGTGACGTTAACACACAGTGACGTTAACACAGTGACGTTAACACACAGTGACGTTAACACACAGTGACGTTAACACACAGTGACGTTAACACAGTGACGTTACACAGTGACGTTAACACACAGTGACGTTAACACACAGTGACGTTAACACACAGTGACGTTAACACACAGTGACGTTAACACACAGTGACGTTAACACACAGTGACGTTAACACAGTGACGTTAACACAGTGACGTTAACACAGTGACGTTAACACACAGTGACGTTAACACAGTGACGTTAACACAGTGACGTTAACACAGTGACGTTAACACACAGTGACGTTAACACAGTGACGTTAACACACAGTGACGTTAACACACAGTGACGTTAACACAGTGACGTTAACACACAGTGACGTTAACACACAGTGACGTTAACACAGTGACGTTAACACAGTGACGTTAACACAGTGACGTTAACACACAGTGACGTTAACACACAGTGACGTTAATGGGGTTAATGGGTTAGTAATGTATTGTTTCGGTGTGTTGGTGTTTCAATCATCAGTAGTGTGTGTGTGTGTGTGTGTGTGTGAGAATGTGTGTGTGTGAGAATGTGTGTGTGTGAGAATGTGTGTGTGAGAATGTGTGTGTGAGAATGTGTGTGTGTGAGAATGTGTGTGTGAGAATGTGTGTGTGAGAATGTGTGTGTGAGAATGTGTGTGTGAGAATGTGTGTGTGAGAATGTGTGTGTGTTGAGAATGTGTGTGTGTGAGAATGTGTGTGTGTGAGAATGTGTGTGTGAGAATGTGTGTGTGAGAATGTGTGTGTGTGTGTGTGTGAGAATGTGTGTGTACCTGTGTGCCGACGTTCCCGAACCCGGTGTTGGTTTGTCCGAAGAGTCCGGTGGCCGTCCCGAAGCCGGTGGCCGCGGCGCTGGGCTGAGCGGCGCCGAACAAGCCGGTGGGCTGAGGAGCCGCCGTGTTCCCAAAGAGACCCTGAGACCAGAGGGGAGGTCAGAACCAGAGGGGGGGTCAGAACCAGAGGCGAGGTCAGAACCAGAGGGGGGGTCAGAACCAGAGGGGGGGTCAGAAACCAGAGGGGAGGTCAGAACCAGAGGGGGGGTCAGAACCAGAGGGGGGTCAGAACCAGAGGGGGGGTCAGAACCAGAGGGGGGGTCAGAACCAGAGGGGGGGTCAGAACCAGAACCAGAGGGGGGGGGTCAGAACCAGAGGGGGGGTCAGAACCAGAGGGGGGGTCAGAACCAGAACCAGAGGGGGGGGTCAGAACCAGAGGGGGGTCAGAACCAGAGGGGGGGTCAGAACCAGAACCAGAGGGGGGGTCAGAACCAGAACCAGAGGGGGGGTCAGAACCAGAGGGGGGGTCAGAACCAGAGGGGGGGGTCAGAACCAGAGGGGAGGTCAGAACCAGAGGGGAGGTCAGAACCAGAGGCGAGGTCAGAACCAGAGGGGGGGTCAGAACCAGAGGCGAGGTCAGAACCAGAGGGGGGGTCAGAACCAGAGGCGAGGTTATATCCCTCAGCTTGCGTATCACTTTGGGATCTGACTAAGTACTGGAAGGCTAAGGAAGCACATGGCTTCACTTCACATGGTTTAATAATTGAGATGTTAGCAGGTAAACACTCACGATGCTGCTGGTGTTGGCCTGGCCCATGGTGTTGGTGTTTCCGAAGGAGAATCCGGAGCTCTGGGTGGTGGTGGTCGCTCCGAAGGGTTTGAAGAGGCTACTGGCCGCTGCCGCCTGCTGCGCCTGCTGCTGCTGCTGCTGCTGCTGCTGTTGCTGCTGCTGCTGAGCCGCCTGCTGCTGCCCGAACAGACCGCCGGCCGTCGCTCCGAACCCCCCGGCAGCCGCTGCAGAGAGCACACAGCGGCACATGTTGAATCACACAGCGTTTCATAGCTTTCCAAAGATATCCTTACTGTGTTTGTTCTCCGAATATTCAGCTAAATATTTCACGTGACATGATGACACGATTCTGAGCCTCTAAAGTTTGCCGCCAAGTTTTTAGACAACGTTATTTTAAGAGGGGGCTTAAGGCTCAATATTTGGGGGCAAAGTACCCCTTGCCCTTCCTTTGGACCATCTTTGTTTGTCTATAACAAAGCTTTTTCACGGATGTTCGGAGTAACTCGTAAAGGTTTACAGCGGTCTGTGTGTGAGTGTGTTTTTATAATGTGTGTGATATGATGTTTCGACACGTGTAAATATACGGATAACCCCGTCCCTGTTCCCTCTCTTACGTGTGGCCCCGAAGGTGCTCTTGTTCTGTCCGAAGGAGAAGTTTGTGTTGGCGGCGGCGGCTCCGAACAGCCCGGTGGCGGCGCTGGGCGTGGCGGCGGCCGGTGTCCCGAACAAACCGCCCGTCGGCGCTGCCATCGGGTTGCTGGGTCCCTTCCTGCCCGCCGAGTAGTCCTCGAAACGCAGCTCCTGCAGGAGAGGAAACACAGATACCAGATTCATCACTAACCTTTCCCACACCTGCAGAGAGAAAGCATTAAAGCTGAACGTCTTCGTACTACAGTCGCGACTCTTCGCTCTACAGTCGCGACTCTTCGCTCTAGTCGCGACTCTGCTCTACTGTCGCGACTCTTCGCTCTACTGTCGCGACTCTTCGCTCTACAGTCGCGACTCTTCGCTCTACAGTCGCGACTCTTCGCTCTAGTCGCGACTCTTCGCTCTAGTCGCGACTCTTCGCTCTAGTCGCGACTCTTCGCTCTACAGTCGCGACTCTTCGCTCTAGTCGCGACTCTTCGCCTCTAGTCGCGACTCTTCGCTCTAGTCGCGACTCTTCGCTCTAGTCGCGACTCTTCGCTCTACAGTCGCGACTCTTCGCTCTAGTCGCGACTCTTCGCTCTAGTCGCGACTCTTCGCTCTACAGTCGCGACTCTTCGCTCTAGTCGCGACTCTTCGCTCTAGTCGCGACTCTTCGCTCTAGTCGCGACTCTTCGCTCTACAGTCGCGACTCTTCGCTCTAGTCGCGACTCTTCGCTCTAGTCGCGACTCTTCGCTCTAGTCGCGACTCTTCGCTCTAGTCGCGACTCTTTCGCTCTAGTCGCGACTCTTCGCTCTAGTCGCGACTCTTCGCTCTAGTCGCGACTCTTCGCTCTAGTCGCGACTCTTTCGCTCTAGTCGCGACTCTTCGCTCTAGTCCGCGACTCTTCGCTCTAGTCGCGACTCTTCGCTCTAGTCGCGACTCTTCGCTCTAGTCGCGACTCTTCGCTCTAGTCGCGACTCTTCGCTCGAGTAATCGCGACTCTTCGCTCTAGTCGCGACTCTTCGCTCTAGTCGCGACTCTTCTTTCGCTCTAGTCGCGACTCTTCGCTCTAGTCGCGACACTGCGCTCTAGTCGCGACACTGCGCTCTAGTCGCGACTCTTCGCTCTAGTCGCGACTCTTCGCTCTAGTCGCGACTCTTCGCTCTAGTCGCGACTCTTCGCTCTACAGTCGCGACTCTTCGCTCTACAGTCGCGACTCTTCGCTCTACAGTCGCGACTCTTCGCTCTACAGTCGCGACTCTTCGCTCTAGTCGCGACACTGCGCTCTAGTCGCGACACTGCGCTCTAGTCGCGACTCTTCGCTCTAGTCGCGACTCTTCGCTCTACAGTCGCGACACTGCGCTCTAGTCGCGACTCTTCGCTCTAGTCGCGACTCTTCGCTCTAGTCGCGACTCTTCGCTCTAGTCGCGACTCTTCGCTCTAGTCGCGACTCTTCGCTCTAGTCGCGACTCTTCGCTCTAGTCGCGACTCTTCGCTCTAGTCGCGACTCTTCGCTCTAGTCGCGACTCTTCGCTCTAGTCGCGACTCTTCGCTCTAGTCGCGACTCTTCGCTCTAGTCGCGACTCTTCGCTCTAGTCGCGACTCTTCGCTCTACTGTCGCGACACTGCGCTCTACTGTCGCGACTCTTCGCTCTACAGTCGCGACTCTTCGCTCTACAGTCGCGACTCTTCGCTCTACAGTCGCGACTCTTCGCTCTACAGTCGCGACTCTTCGCTCTACAGTCGCGACTCTTCGCTCTACAGTCGCGACTCTTCGCTCTACAGTCGCGACTCTTCGCTCTACAGTCGCGACTCCGCTCTACTGTCGCGACCCCGCTCTACTGTCGCGACTCTTCGCTCTACAGTCGCGACTCTTCGCTCTACTGTCGCGACTCTTCGCTCTACTGTCGCGACTCTTCGCTCTACAGTCGCGACTCCGCTCTACAGTCGCGACCCCGCTCTACAGTCGCGACCCCGCTCTACTGTCGCGACCTCTTCGCTCTACTGTCGCGACCCTCGCTCTACTGTCGCGACTCTTCGCTCTACTGTCGCGACTCTTCGCTCTACTGTCGCGACCCCGCTCTACTGTCGCGACCCCGCTCTACTGTCGCGACCCCGCTCTACTGTCGCGACCCCGCTCTACTGTCGCGACCCCCGCTCTACTGTCGCGACCCCGCTCTACTGTCGCGACCTCCGCTCTTACTGTCGCGACTCTCGCTCTACTGTCGCGGACTCGCTCTACTGTCGCGACCCTCGCTCTACTGTCGCGACCCCGCTCTACTGTCGCGACCCCGCTCTACTGTCGCGACCCCGCTCTACTGTCGCGACCCCGCTCTACTGTCGCGACCCCGCTCTACTGTCGCGACTCCGCTCTACTGTCACGTCGCGACTCCGCTCTACTGTCACGACTCAACTCTTCGTACTACTGTCACGACTCCGCTCTACTGTCGCGACTCACGCTCTACTGTCGCGACGCCGGACTCCGCTCTACTGTCGCGACTCCGCTCTACTGTCGCGACGCGACTCCGCTCTACTGTCGCGACTCGACTCCGCTCTACTGTCGCGACTCGACTCCGCTCTACTGTCGCGACTCGACTCCGCTCTACTGTCACGACTCGACTCCGCTCTACTGTCACGACTCAACTCTTCGTACTACTGTCACGACCCCGCTCTACTGTCACGACCCCGCTCTACTGTCGCGACTCCGCTCTACTGTCGCGACCCCGCTCTACTGTCGCGACCCCGCTCTACTGTCGCGACTCCGCTCTACTGTCGCGACTCCGCTCTACTGTCGCGACTCCGCTCTACTGTCGCGACTCCGCTCTACTGTCACGACTCAACTCTTCGTACTACTGTCACGACTCCTCTCTACTGTCACGACTCAACTCTTCGTACTACTGTCACGACCCTGCTCTACTGTCACGACTCAACTCTTCGTACCTACTTTATTTACTGTGCATTGCCCTGTTTGTATTTGATGTTTCTGCTGTGTTTACTTGTTGTTATTGTTGTTACCTCCAGGGATTTGTTCTCGTACTCCTTCATGGCCGTGATGCACTGGTGCTTGGTGTTGATGCTCGTCGTCACGCCGGCCTTCACCATCGTGTCAGTTCCTGTCGGAGGCTGGAGGGAAAACAATTTTAAAATGTGCAAATATTTTGGATATTAAAAAAAGATTGAGTGAATATTTTCCACACATTTGCCGGAATTATTTTTAAACATAATTTCATATTGTTCTCAACCCATTTGATCACATCTGAAGAACATTTTGCAGATATGTTTCCGATAGCTTCTGTGTTCCTGGCAGTCACAACAGGGGGCAGTGATGCCGTTATGTCAGGGCACAATATGTTAGGGCATCCTGATACACGTTAACACTCAGAGGGCCTCACGTTGAACTTGACGGTGGTTTTTTTACATTATTATATTTAGGATCTTTTGCACAATTTCCCAGATATATATTTTTGATCATTTCTGTGTTCTTGGGGGCATCCTGAAATCAAGTTTTATTTATATAGCACATTTATAAACGATCTTTGGTGGAGCCAAAGTGCTGAACATATAATAAAAATAGCCTACAGTAGAGACACTTTACAGCAAATACAGCACAGATTGTTCAGAATATCAGTATGAGAAAAACGACACCCTCTGTCCTCAGACCCTCTGTCCTCAGACCCTCTGTCCTCAGACCCTCTGTCCTCAGACCCTCTGTCCTCAGACCCTCACTTCGTTCAAGGAAACACTTCCAGAGAAAACCCACAGTTGAAAGGGAACATGGGAGAAAGCTCAGGGAGAGCAGCAGAGGAGGGATCCCTCTCCCAGGACGGACAGACGTGCAATAGATGCCGTGTGTAAATTGAAAAGATAATACATTTGACAGCATATAGACCGAATGTTAGGAAATGCATGTGTCTGTAATAAGAAGATGAATCCACGAGGATGTGAGCTACAATCCTGAGGAAGCCATCAGGAAAACAGCATGACGAGACCCAAGGCAGGACCGCAGAGACAGGTTCAGCCACGACCCGAAGTGCACGACTCAGAACTCAGGATAGAGGATCCAGGACTACAGCAAGAGGATCGGCCTCGACTCCGGATCCCGGCGTAGATATAATAAATACATTATTTTGTATATATTGATTGTTGTGCTTTTATTTATGTCTAAATGTTTGCACATGTATAAATGTGTCTTTGATTGTATATATCTTTTTTTATATATCTTTGTTATTGTATTCGGGATTGTGGGAAACAGTATCTCTGTCTGAACACAAACTGGAAGATTGACAATAAAGTTGACTTTTGACGTCGAACTTGACGGTGGTTTCTTTACACAATTATATTTAGGATCTTTTGCACATGTTCCCCTCTGTGGGAAAAATGAAGGTACTCTGATAAACGTTATCAACACTCAGAGGGACTCACGTTGAACTTGACGGTGGTTCCCGGCTGCTGCTGCTGCTGAGCGGCGGTGAAGCCCGCCCCCCCGAACAGAGAGGACACGGCGCTCCCTCCGAAGGGATTGGAGGCGGCGGCGGCTGTGGACCCGAACAGCCCTCCACTGGCGGCGCTGGTCCCGAAGCCTGGAGGACACGATGGGAGGGAGACTTCTTCAGAGCGTTCAGTAGTTTCATAAGATAAACAAATCACAACGACAGCTGGCTGAGCAGAGAGAAACGACTGCAGCGATGGATCATCGTTAGTACAAACCTGACAGAGATCAAGCATGGGAACGCTTGCCTTGTGAGTTAGGACACATTAGTCTGCTTTATAACAACAACAACAAACAACCTCTGAACACAAGAACAGCTTCTTCCCGGCCGCTACTTCAATACTGTAAAACCTGCACTCAAATATTTCTAGTATTTTCTACACTTCAAACATTTTCCATCTTTAAAATTCTGTGTTGTTTTTCTAAGTGTGTGCCCCTCCCCTGACCTCTATTTTATACTTTGATAGAGAGGTGAAGCCCCCCCCCTTCCGGGGAGCTCCATGGGACCTTACTTCAGAGAAAGTATGTATTGAAGTCAATGCAGAGAGAAAGATTATCTCTCGATCCCGTTTGAATTGTGCCACGAATTACACATATGATGTTCGTCAATTTACAAGATCATTTTGCAAGTCAAAAAAATTAAAATGTGTCGTAAAACTGTGAAGTAACACTTTGTTTGTGTGAAACGCTGAATGAACTACATCTCCCGTCTCGCCCCCACACACCCAGACGGCCGTCACGTTGAAACATTTCACTTCTTTCTTTCAGAACGAGGCGGAAAGCATTAAAAGAGGTGTAAATCACTCCAAGTCTGGGCACGTTGAGAGCTGCACACACACAAGGGGAGTCAGTCGGTTCCTAAGAGCCAGCATGCGGGACCGGGACTCTGGGATTTGTAGTCTTTCTAGTTGCGTATTTTTCAGTCTTTTATTTCAACAGTTTTACAACAAACTGACTTTTTTGATGTGGAAATTATTTTTAAAGATTGACAAACATCATGTGTGTAATTCATGGGACAATTCAAACGGGATCGAGAGATAATCTTTCTCTCTGCATTGTAGGGCTGTACCCGAATATTCGACTATTCGAATATTCGTTCGTTGGCCAACTATTCGGGTTTTAATTTCATTATTCGGATATTCGTTTTTTTCTTCCTAAATGCTATCAATAAAGGCCAATTGCCATATTCTTATACTATATTTATACTTTTGAATTGCACTGTTAAAATGCGGAAATATATACAATCTCAGCCTGTGCTCCTGACATCGCGTTCACAGTCACGACGCAAACGGCACGCTTCACCTCGCTTCACACACCTGAACACAAAGTGCCGAAGACTTCAGCTGCGTGGGACCATTTTAAATTGGACGACGGTAAGAAGAAGGCAGTGTGCCAAATATGCGACGAGAAACTGGCCGGTGGCACAACAACTCTGAAAAGTCACCGGATGCTGTTATTACTAGCCTAGCTTAGCTTAGCTGTTGTCAAGTTGCCATGATGAAGCTGCTTTATCCGCCGTTTAAACCGTAACGTTACTCATGATAACATCGTGCTCTTACTTGGCTTGGAAAATCGTTGCAAGCAAGCGAATTGTTTTTTTATATTAGTTTTTCAATTGTATCCGAATAGTGAAAACAATAGGAGCAATGTGGAACATCTGGGGCTAAGGCAATTATTGGCATTCAGTTCGTTCATTTATTTAAATACTGTTGACTGCATCGGTAACCAGTGTTACCGGTTAGGCCGACTGTTACGGCTGTTATTAAAAGTATTGTTGTTATAACAGAAATATGTGTTTTGTATCTTCAGGTTGTAAAACGTTATAGACGGAGTCTGGAACCGGATGTGGTCCAGGGCGCTGCGCTGCGGCTGGGTTACATGCAGAGGACACATTTAGTTTTAATGTATGCGAGTACTGAGACAATAAACAAATATAAATCGTAATAGTATGCTCTTTCTGCGCTTCTGCTTAACAGCGTGTTGTCAGGTGTCTCGGAGCGTGTTATGAAAAAAATTTAAAAATATTTTTTTTATTGAAAAAAACAAACAATCTCTCCGCACCGAATATCCGGAGCCCGAAAAATGGTATTCGGGACAGCCCTACCGCATTGACTTCAATACATTAATTTTCCGAAATAAGGTCCCATGGAGGTCCACCGGAAGGGGAGGGACTTCGCCTCTCTATGCCGGCGATGTCCCCTAATGCGCCGTTCAGAACAAACTCCTAAATAACAGTCAGTATTATTTGTATTGTTTACATTTGATATCATATTTTTAAGTATTCGTATTTTAAAGTTGAGCACACTGGTCCTGTAACAAAACAATTTTCCCTACAGGGATCAATTAAGGTCCATCTTACCTTACTCACCGTAACCCTAACAGTTCCCTATTTCATACGGTCACTTTAAGTCTATATTCTCTCCACTCTATCTACACTTCACTTCTGCTGAAAATGTCCCGAACTCCTTAGACCCAATAAAAGGTGCGTTGAGGGTGTTCTCACTTCCGAACGAGGTGGGTTTGCTGGCCCCGAAGGCATTGCTCGGCTGAGAGAAGAGTCCCCCGGTGGTTCCCGTGGCGGTGTTTCCGAACAGGCTCGTGGCGGTGCCGCCGGCGGCCGCTGCTCCGAACCCGAAACCTGTGGCAGCGGAGGAGGCTGGAGGCTGGCTGAAGGTGCTAGCTCCAAAAAGACCACCTGCTTGGGGGGGAGAGACACATCAGGGAAGAGCTGTTATTTAGACATCTGGAAGGAGAAGCTGCTATTCAGACGTCTGGAAGAGCTAGCTGCTATAGAGAGCCACCGTGACGCGTCCTAAAACCCGGAAGTAAACTCCTTCCGGTTCCCTCGACAAAAGCAATGAGATTTCTCCGTAGGATTTAGGAAAATAGCTGGAAATAAGGTCTGTGGTTGAGACACATTCAAGAGATGGATCACGTTTGGTTCAGCCGGATCATCTCCACATGTCTACTTTTATCATTTTCTAATCGTAAATCTAATGTCCTGAAGCTAAATGCTAACGTGATGCTATAAAGGAACTACAGCCGAGTCCAGCAGCACGACTTCAACGTCACGCCGACTTCAGACCCAGATTCAAACACACAGGTTCTAAACCACATGTGTCAAACTCGAGGCCCGGGGGCCAAATCAGGCCCGTGGTGGATTTAATTTCGGCCCGCAGGATAATTTCTAATCACTATTAGATCTGGCCCGCCGGTATATTGCACGCACACCTTCCCTCCATCCTGAGGGTCTCCTCCGCTCAGAGCCTGAGCCCAAACATTGATGACCTGCACCCAAGATGAGATGCCAAGTATCTGAGCTAGCATCACAGAGCAGCACACTGAGTTCAATGGATGCTTCCTTCTGCACTTTCTCTCTCAGGACAACAGGGCATGTTTGTTTGTTCTTTGAGGGGAATAGTTTTGTTGAAGCTGTTGTTGGCCTGTGGGGAAAATGTACTCATAAGAACTGACTCTGGAAAAGCTGCAGATAGAGCCATAAGAAATGAATGCAGCTGATTATTTAATGTTTAATGTTGTTTTTATAGGCAATCATTGAAGCTTCGTTAGTTCCAGGTTTAATATGTGCAATAAGTTCATTTCAATAAGTTCTGCAATAAACATTGAACCAGTCCGGCCCTCCACTAGTACACATTTTTTTATTTTGGCCCACTGTGTGTTTGAGTTTGACCCCCTGCTCTAAAGTGTCCGAGTTGAAGCGTCTGTTTGAACAGTCTGCAGGAGGCAGGGACTTGCTTTCAAGCAGAACAGAAACTAACTCAGAGGAGTGTTCACGTGTTCGGCGTAATGACGTACAACGGCCTCCACGACTTCTGTAGTCCTGTTCAGCCACTTGGTAACAACCATCGTTTCTCAGACACGTCCACTCTTCAGAAATCACAGTGGGGTCACTGCTGATGATTTAACGTAGAACAAAACGTGACCCGTCTCTTCACTGTGTCTCAACCACAGACCTTAGTTCAGATAGTCTCCTAAACCCTACGGAGCGATCCCATTGGCTCTGAGACCAGGGGACAGGAAGTGGAGACACTTGGGGTTTCAGGACGCGTCACTGCGGCTCGACTCTGGAAGAGCTAGCTGCTCCGCTACACTGAGCTATGTTTGCATGAATATAACGGCCCTGTTATTTCAGTAACTACTTGTTTGAGTAAATAAAGATATGATGATTCAGACCGTTTGTAGAAGGGCTGTGCCGACGGTTCAAATGCAGCTTTTTTTTTTATCCACATGCATTGCTGCTGATTGTGGTTCAACGCAGCATCAGTGCACAGTGTCAGATGAAGAAGAGGCTTCACTGATATCAATATCACACGAAGGGTTCAATCACATTTCAGTGGTAGCTGCGTACGAGTGTTTTAGAATCGTGTGAGCAAAACGTATCCAACTCCAGTTTGTTGTAAAGTCAACTTTTATACTTTTATTGACAAAATACGTTTTTATTCAACCAAATATTAGGTTTCAATCAATGTTAACGTTTAGCCTCGAAAACAACATGAGTTATATTAGTTCACGAGAGAGGACTTCATTAGGAAACTCATCAATCTCATTCATATCTTTTTCCAAATAAGGGATTAAGAAAGAAAACAATTCGGGTGAAATTTGAAACTTCATTTGAAAACCTCAAACTATTCTAAATGTAAACAAGGACCTTCGGTCCACGCCAACATGCTGAGCATGGAGACTCGGTCCACGCCAACATGCTGAGCATGGAGACTCGGTCCACGCCAACATGCTGAGCATGGAGACTCGGTCCACGCCAACATGCACAGCATGGAGACTCGGTCCACGCCAACATGCTGAGCATGGAGACTCGGTCCACGCCAACATGCACAGCATGGAGACTCGGTCCACGCCAACATGCTGAGCATGGAGACTCGGTCCACGCCAACATGCTGAGCATGGAGACTCGGTCCACGCCAACATGCTGAGCATGGAGACTCGGTCCACGCCAACATGCTGAGCATGGAGACTCGGTCCACGCCAACATGCTGAGCATGGAGACTCGGTCCACGCCAACATGCTGAGCATGGAGACTCGGTCCACGCCAACATGCTGAGCATGGAGACTCGGTCCACGCCAACATGCTGTGCATGGAGACTCGGTCCACGCCAACATGCACAGCATGGAGACTCGGTCCACGCCAACATGCTGAGCATGGAGACTCGGTCCACGCCAACATGCTGTGCATGGAGACTCGGTCCACGCCAACATGCTGAGCATGGAGACTCGGTCCACGCCAACATGCACAGCATGGAGACTCGGTCCACGCCAACATGCTGAGCATGGAGACTCGGTCCACGCCAACATGCTGTGCATGGAGACTCGGTCCACGCCAACATGCTGAGCATGGAGACTCGGTCCACGCCAACATGCACAGCATGGAGACTCGGTCCACGCCAACATGCACAGCATGGAGACTCGGTCCACGCCAACATGCTGAGCATGGAGACTCGGTCCACGCCAACATGCACAGCATGGAGACTCGGTCCACGCCAACATGCACAGCATGGAGACTCGGTCCACGCCAACATGCTGAGCATGGAGACTCGGTCCACGCCAACATGCTGAGCATGGAGACTCGGTCCACGCCAACATGCACAGCATGGAGACTCGGTCAGCGCGACACTGAACAGCCAAACAATACAAACGTCTGATTGGTTATTTTTTTCGAATGAGACAAGATCTGACAAACCAGGTTTAGCCTGAGCGGGACCGAACAGTCCTCCAGTGTTGGCGGCCGCCCCGAACGCTGACGTCCCAAAGCCTCCCGTCGTCCCAAAACCCGCGTCTGCAGGACGATATCATGCTTTGAGTTCACCTCTGGAGAACTCTCTTAGACTACATCACATAACTGCTCTTTAAAGGTCCCCTACTTTCATCAGTATCTCAGGTCTCAGATATATCCAGAGCCTGTCTCTGATTGGCTGAAACACCAAACAGATCATTGCAGCATTACCCACAATCCCCTCTGTTTCAGCCCTGTTTCCAAAGTGCTGATTCTCTGTCTGTTACTTCAGATGAAAATAAGGAGCCCCTCCCCACGCCCCTCTGAGAGACATCTGGTTACAAAGAACTCAATGGTGCTCTAGGAGGAGATTCAGGTGATAAGGGGGGGGGGGGGTTACCGTGGTTGCTGATTGGCTAATGGTTACACAAGACAAAACATCGTTATGACATCATAAAGTGGCCAAAATCTGATCAGCTCATTTTCAGACAGGTTTTTATAGAAATGGATCAAAAAGAGAGAGAATCTTTGTTCCTGAAACTTTCAGAGTCTCTTTCCACAGAGGGGACACATGTTGATGTAGAAGAGACATGAAGAAGAGGGGACACATGTTGATGTAGAAGAGACATGAAGAAGAGAGGACACATGTTGATGTAGAAGAGACATGAAGAAGAGAGGACACATGTTGATGTAGAAGAGACATGAAGAAGAGGGGACACATGTTGATGTAGAAGAGACATGAAGAAGAGGGGACACATGTTGATGTAGAAGAGACATGGAGAAGAGGGGACACATGTTGATGTAGAAGAGACATGAAGAAGAGGGGACACATGTTGATGTAGAAGAGACATGAAGAAGAGGGGGACACATGTTGATGTAGAAGAGACATGAAGAAGAGGGGACACATGTTGATGTAGAAGAGACATGAAGAAGAGGGGACACATGTTGATGTAGAAGAGACATGAAGAAGAGGGGACACATGTTGATGTAGAAGAGACATGAAGAAGAGGGGACACATGTTGATGTAGAAGAGACATGAAGAAGAGGGGACACATGTTGATGTAGAAGAGACATGAAGAAGAGGGGACACATGTTGATGTAGAAGAGACATGAAGAAGAGGGGACACGTGTTGCTTGGTAGGGGCCCTTTAACTGCACCATGAAGCTGATTAACGTAGCATTTCAGAAAGCTAATGCTAATCAGATCTTCTGTGTATACCATCATCTATGAAACATTAAGGTTGGATGGGTCAGGACATGGGGGGGGGGGGGGGGGGAGACCTTGAATATTCAGATACTTTAGAAGAAGATATAAAATCAGTATATTTAGGTCGTAAGAATCCATCAGATCAGTCAAAGTGTTTGGATTATGACGCAGCCCAAACCACAACGTGGACCCTCTATGAGCTGAGGGGGGGGGGGGGGGGTTTGAATCCCAGAGGTTTCATTTAAAGTAAATAAACAAAACTCACTTTGCTGTCCGAAGGTGGAAGCGGCGCCGAAGCCCCCCGTCCCTCCCCCGAAGGGAGTACCAAAAGACTTGTTGAACATCTTGTCCTGCTAGCAGGCCGGCATAGGTGGTCTGTGAGGAGAGAAACACAACATGTTGAGATACCTGCAGGGGTCTGTCCTCCCAGTGACCCTGCAGACCTCCCTATCCTGTGTGTCCACTTTAACTGTCTTCTCCATGATGGTGTGTTTTGAGCATGTTCTGTTGCCTCTTCGAATATTTAACTAATTGTACCGTGTCCTTAAATCAAATGTATTATTAGCATAACTCTTCACCCTTCAGTAAAGATAACCGATCACACCACCTCTATGCGCAAAATAAACACCATCACACACTGCTATATAACATGGTGGTCTTAAATACAGTAGGTAGTCATTGTTCATTACCTCTGGCATGGAGACTAGTATAAGGCCATAGTAGCATTACATTTACTTTCCACCACATCTCACTCAATCAGATCTTCATTTGAACAGAAGTCAAAGGGTCATGTGTAATATAATTTACTGGACTTAACCTCCCACTGTACATGTTACATGTATATTCAATCTAATGTTTAATAATCCATTTCTTGCACAATTAATGCTATTTGAGATGTTAAATGTTGGATTGTTTATTTCTAGTCTTTTCTCTTGTGTGCAATGCCTTGTCTTGAATGCTGTTGCAACGCAAACATTTCCCACATCGGGATCAATTAAGTGCTTCTTATCTTATAAAGGCAGTACAATTACACGAGCTTTCCACCACATACAGGTCACTCAATCAGGTGTTCATTTGAACAGAAGTCAAAGGGTAATGTGTAATATAAGGCAGTACAATTACACGAGCTTTCCACCACATACAGGTCACTCAATCAGGTGTTCATTTGAACACAACCCTGTTGAAATGAAGGACCCATTTGAACTCGGGAGCCCGGCTCCACGTGTGGTAAACCCGGGTCTCTGTGTTAGTAAGAACCGTGAATCCAAACATCAACCAGCAGTCCCAGCAGTCCCAGCATCCCATAATGCAAGTTTAAAAGCACTAAATTAACCAGTCAGAGCCAGATTAAACCAGTTAGAAACCGAGACTCAACACACAGCGAGGGATAACACTGACATATCCAGGATAGCATGTCAGCTAACACCAAGCTAACACCATGAACATCTTTTATTTAGTTTAAATATTACGAGATGATTTCCAGTATTGGTTGATTTATGATGAGCAAAATAATCCGGTTTTAACACGTGGTGATTTGAAATGTGGCCTTCTGTTTGAAAAGACAGAGTTTTTAATTAATGTGATTATTTTTACACAAATGTCACGTTTTAAACACACAAAAAACAATCCTCCAGTATCTATTGTTTTTCTTAATGACAGGAAATTATACAAACGCTGTATTAAATGAGGCAAAAGTGAATATAATTGTACACATTTCTGAACACCTTAATTCTGAGAAGCTTCTTGTGTTGTGTTTTAGTTGTTCTCTCTTTTCTGTTCGTGATGAGATCAGTTTTAAAGAAATAAACTCTGATGTTTAAGAACCTTTTTCTGATTGTATTGGAATAACTGGTCAATAAAGTTTAAAAAATAAAATAAAAACCAAGCTAGCACCATAGATTAACCGTAACTTACTTTATCTATTAACACACCCAGCTACCAACAAGTCACATTGTAACTTGAATCTTCTTCTTTTAAATCAGTAAACACTCACTTTAATGCGTTAAAGTCACTATTTGTTGGACAGTTAGAAGCTACGTGACAAGCTAACATTAGCTAACTAGCTCCGCGGCTAAATGTTAGCAAAACAAAAGCAAAGACAGACAAAGAACGGGCGTTATTTTCACACACATCTACCTTTCACAACGATGTGATGGATGTTCGGTTGTTTGTGGACCTTTCTCCCGTAATGTTAGAGCTCTGGAGTCCAAAATGTACGAAGATAAAAGTATCTTTAGCTAAACATTTAGCTTCGTCAACGAGGAGGGAAAACTCAGGAGCGTCACTACGCACTTTCATACGTCTGACGTCATGACGCAGGGACGTGAAAATGAGGCAAAAAATAGATAATAATTAAAATAATATATATCTATGTATTCAAACATTTATATATGCATTCATTTATTTGTCTATTAATTATGTCATGTTCCGTCCTCCCCTTTTTCACTGTCTGAATGAAACCCCATACAGGTCCGTTTCTGGTCAGGAGGCAGGAGGGTTTTGTACATGTCAGTAATAACACCTGTACTCAAGTCCTCTTTTTAAACATGAACTTTAACATTAACGAAATATAGTATCAGGATGACATCAACATGTATTTATATAAGTAATGGGATGTATAAACACCGTCTTCCGGTCTCATTTGTGCATCACGTGGGGATGTAGCTCAGTGGTAGAGCGCATGCTTCGCATGTATGAGGCCCCGGGTTCAATCCCCGGCATCTCCACTTTTTCACCCGGAGCATCACAGGAAACACTGGGAGACACGACACACAGGAAACACGAGAGGGACACACAGGACACACTGGGAGACACACAGGATACTGGGAGACACTGAGAGATACACTGAGAGACACACAGGACACTGGGAGACACACAGGATACTGGGACACTGGGAGATACTGGGAGACACGACACACAGGAAACACGAGAGGGACACACAGGACACACTGGGAGACACACAGGATACTGGGAGACACTGAGAGATACACTGAGAGACACACAGGACACTGGGAGACACACAGGATACTGGGACACTGGGAGACACTGGGAGACACGACACACAGGAAACACGAGAGGGAGACACAGGACACACTGGGAGACACACAGGATACTGGGAGACACTGAGAGACACACAGGACACTGGGAGACACACAGGACACACTGGGAGACACACAGGATACTGGGACACTGGGAGACAGACACACAGGATACTGGGAGACACTGAGAGATACACTGAGAGACACACAGGACACTGGGAGACACACAGGATACTGGGAGACACACAGGAGACACTGAGAGACACACAAGACACTGGGAGATACACAGGACACACTGAGAGACACACAAGACACTGAGAGACACACAGGAGACACTGAGAGACACACAAGACACTGGGAGACACACAGGATACTAGGAGACACTGAGAGACACACAGGAGACACTGAGAGACACACAAGACACTGAGAGACACACAGGAGACACTGAGAGACACACAAGACACTGGGAGATACACAGGACACACTGGGAGACACACAGGATACTAGGAGACACTGAGAGACACACAGGAGACACTGAGAGACACACAAGACACTGGGAGACACGACACACAGGAAACACGAGAGGGAGACACAGGACACACTGGGAGACACACAGGATACTGGGAGACACTGAGAGACACACAGGACACTGGGAGACACACAGGACACACTGGGAGACACACAGGATACTGGGACACTGGGAGACAGACACACAGGATACTGGGAGACACTGAGAGATACACTGAGAGACACACAGGACACTGGGAGACACACAGGAGACACTGAGAGACACACAAGACACTGGGAGATACACAGGACACACTGAGAGACACACAAGACACTGAGAGACACACAAGACACTGGGAGATACACAGGACACACTGGGAGACACACAGGATACTAGGAGACACTGAGAGACACACAGGAGACACTGAGAGACACACAAGACACTGGGAGATACACAAGACACACTGTGAGACACTGAGAGACACACAAGACTGGGTTGCAAAATTCCGAGAATTTTCAAAGATGGAAACTTTCCATGAGAATTAACGGGAATAAACTGGGAATTTTCTAAATTGAAGGTTGGCTCTTCATAGGGAACTTGGCATTCGGGCAAACCTAAGTCTCTCTGAGCCGGACACAGAGCCTTCCTCAACAAGGCTGGACAGTGACACGGAAGAGGAAGACTCAGAGTGATGTTGATGAGGCCCGGAAGAGCCCGTTGACTGAAAGGGTTTAGCCAAAATGCAGAGGATCGCTTGAAGGGAGATTTGCATGTTGAATGGGACTTTGTGGGGATTTTTGGATCGGGGTGCATTTTTGTTCATTTTTTAATGAGTGGGGTTGGGGGGGATGAGTAATATTTAACTCAACATTCCTGTTTTCGTTCTTCAATTAAACAAATAATTGTTCACTAAAATAATTAAAACTTGTTCTGTTCTACTTTAAAAAAAATTTTTTAAAAAAAAGTCAAATGTCATGTTTTTTGTTTAATTTTGCATCGAATATTTCCAAAATTCTCCAGCTTAACTTCCCATGGAACTTTCCTAACATTTTTCGCACCTTTGCAACCCTACACAAGACACTGGGAGACACACATGAGACATTGGGAGACACTGGGAGACACACAGGAGACATAGGGAGACACTGGGAGACACACAGGAGACATAGGGAGACACTGGGAGACACACATGAGACATTGGGAGACACTGGGAGACACACAGGAGACATAGGGAGACACTGGGAGACACACAGGAGACATAGGGAGACACTGGGAGACACACAGGAGACATAAGGAGACACTGGGAGACACACATGAGACATTGGGAGACACTGGGAGACACACAGGAGACATAGGGAGACACTGGGAGACACACAGGAGACATAGGGAGACACTGGGAGACACACAGGAGACATAGGGAGACACTGGGAGACACACAGGAGACATAGGGAGACACTGGGAGACACACAGGAGACATAGGGATACACTGGGAGACACACAGGAGACATAGGGATACACTGGGAGACACACATGAGACATTGGGAGACACTGGGAGACACACAGGAGACATAGGGATACACTGGGAGACACACAGGAGACATAGGGAGACACTGGGAGACACACAGGAGACATAGGGAGACACTGGGAGACACACAGGAGACATAGGGAGACACTGGGAGACACACAGGAGACATAGGGAGACACTGGGAGACACACAGGAGACATAGGGAGACACTGGGAGAGACACACAGGAGACATAGGGAGACCACTGGGAGAACACACAGGAGACATAGGGATACACTGGGAGACACACAGGAGACATAGGGATACACTGGGAGACACACATGAGACATTGGGAGACACTGGGAGACACACAGGAGACATAGGGATACACTGGGAGACACACAGGAGACATAGGGATACACTGGGAGACACACAGGAGACATAGGGAGACACTGGGAGACACACAGGAGACATTGGGAGACACATAGGAGACACACAGGAGACATTGGGAGACACATAGGAGACACACAGGAGACATAGGGAGACACTGGGAGACACACAGGAGACATTGGGAGACACATAGGAGACACACAGGAGACATAGGGAGACACTGGGAGACACACAGGAGACATTGGGAGACACTGGGAGACACACAGGAGACATTGGGAGACACATAGGAGACACACAGGAGACATAGGGAGACACTGGGAGACACACAGGAGACATTGGGAGACACTGGGAGACACACAGGAGACATAGGGAGACACTGGGAGACACACAGGAGACATTGGGAGACACACAGGAGACACACAGGAGACATAGGGAGACACTGGGAGACACACAGGAGACATAGGGAGACACTGGGAGACACACAGGAGACATTGGGAGACACATAGGATACTGGGAGTCACTGGGAGAGTGGATGGAACATGACAGAAGTATAAATACATGTGTAAATAAATGTATGAATAAATACAGGAATAAATTAATACAGTCTGTATTTATTCATTCATTTATTTACACATGTATTTATTTATGTATACCTATGTCATGTTCCGTCCTCCATAGTCGTATTGTGACAAGAGTTTGTTGTTGTTGTCTTGTTACTGTCTTGTTGTTTGTGCATGGACTTTGAAAACTAGATGGCTAATCCCACTTTAAAATGTGGTTATATAGTTTAGGTCTGATTATGGCCTTTTTAATAGCATCACACTGAGCTCTAAAAAATATATATATTCCGTTCCTTACAGTCTAATTGTATATATAATATTTATATGTTGTTTACATTTTGGATGTTTTACGTCCAAACCGGATGTGTCTGCATATTTTAGCTTCTCTGTCTCCGTAAAACTTGAAATCTAATATCTTTCTGTATTGTGTCAAATGTTGGTCGGGTTATCATCATCTCTACATATTTATAAATCTAATAAAATAAAGCAGTTTTGTGAAATATTTAAAAAATAAAATCACTGGTTCCACTGGGGCTCGAACCCAGGACCTTCTGCGTGTAAAGCAGACGTGATAACCGCTACACTATGGAACCTGCTGCCATTATCGTGACGTACTTCCCCTATTAATAGACCGTTACAGGTCATAGGTTTAGAAGCTTCTGAATTACTATGGTTTAGAATTAAAGTTTGAATATTCAATGAACTACTGTGGAACCTGCTCGGAGTCGCCCAGGCGTTGAAGCAACAGGAAGGGTGTTGTGGTGGG